ACAGGCAGAGCAAAAGGTAATATACGAATCATATACTGCAGGAGGAAAGAGATCCTTAACATGGGCAGATACCAAGAATATGCCACTCACATATAGAGTAAGTAGGTCCAACTTCAACTTCAATATTATGTTTTGTCACAACTTGATGACAAGAAAGATTAATGGTGGCTAAACTGTGTATATTTTTGAACTTTCAGTTGATCTTGGAGAGTCTGAGGATGGCAAGCATCATATCTTTTACATTCAGGGAAGCAGTAGTTGATGTAGAATACAAAGGTTAGAAGATTCTCTGTTTTTTTTTTTTGACCTTTTTGATCAAGAGGTTTCTGTTCTAAAAACTCTGTTTCTTAAATCTACAGGGTACCTCATCCCAAAGGGTTGGAAAGTGATGCCATTGTTCAGGAACATCCATCACAATCCAGAATTCTTCTCTGACCCTCAAAAATTTGACCCATCTAGATTTGAGGTAAAGGTGCTTGAATGTTTGATGGTTATGGTTCTTGCCTTCTTGGCAAGCGAGCATGAGCAATATTGGTGGTTAAAGTTACAAACTTTTGTGATTGTGGGCGATTTGCAGGTAGCCCCAAAGCCCAATACCTTCATGCCTTTCGGCAATGGCGTGCACACCTGCCCTGGCAATGAACTTGCCAAGCTGCAGATACTCATTTTAATCCACCATCTACTCACCAACTTCAGGTAATGTCACTGAAATGGTGATTCAATCAATTAATTACACCAAAAAAATTGGAGCCCCCAATAGATTTTGACATGGCTGTTCTCTTTCTGTTGCAGATGGGAAGTGGTGGGTTCTCAAAGTGGGATTCAGTATGGCCCATTCCCAGTTCCTCAACAAGGACTCCCAGCCAGATTTTGGAAAGAATCAAAATCTTCAACCTCAACCAAACCAGACTAATTTCTAGTCTCTTACAAATAATTTTCTATTGCCTAACCAAAGACCTTCTATTGTAATTGTAGCTTTAATTTCTAAGTAAGTTAACTAGTATTGTAATAAGCATTAAGCAAGAGGATTATTGGGAAATTTTCATTTTCCCAGATGACAATGAATAGCATAACAGGGGGTGGTGCCCTTGATTGGAGGGCAAATAAACCAGAATCGAGCCTACTTGAAGCCATTGTCAGGTTGCCAGTGGGCGGTGGCCCCATGAACTGATTTTTCTCAAATGAAGGGTATTTCCAGAGGAGGGTGACCTATAAATTAAGGGCAATTGTCAGCAGTAGACTACCCCACCTGCTACATACCTAAAAGTAACTCAAACTTTAAGGCTATGTAAATTTTTTGTCTCAACTATTCCAACAAACAGGCCCTGCAGTTGCAGAGAATGCTTAAAGTGGTGACATTGAAAATCTGATATTTTTATTATCTAGATAACTCTACTGGCTTTTTTGTGGCCTCGTGGTAGGCAAGGAATTCTACAGCAATGACCACAATAATTCAGGCAAGGATCTTGAAGCTTCCAGCACTAATCTGACTGAATGGCAAAAGTTTTGAGACACCAAAAACTTTCCTGTTTGTGTTTAATCCTGGTCATTTTCACTTACTTAAAATAGTAACTCTACTCCAACTTACCATCTTTTACATAGTGGAATTCTTGATAGTTATCACTTATTGCTATAGTTTATCAGTATCCAATCTCTATGATGGGTGGTTTTGAAAAAAAAAAAAAAAAAAAAAACTGTCTTTTACGTGAATAAATTTATTTAGACGGTCTCATTACATCGACATGATGATTTAGCGAGGTTATCTAGTAGAAAATTTTCTCATTTAGTCATTGTTAGGTGGCCGAGTGGTTGGACAATAACTTGTGAGTGTATTATTCAAGAGGTTTTGAATTCGAGTCACTTCAATTGTTAATAGGGATGGTTAATGGAAGATATACTCGGTCATTAATTTCATGACCTAAAAGATGAGTTTGAGTCACTTTGGTTGTTAATAAGGATGACCACTGGAGGGTATACCTGGTCGTTAACTCCAAGGCTCGGGAGATTAGTCGAGATGTGCGCAAACTGACTGGAACACCCTTGATCACCAAAAGAAAAAAAAAAAATTCTCATTTAAAAGATAGTACTGAGTTTTCAGTAAGTTTTAATATGACTCTTATGAATTTTAGGGTACAAATTAACAATGACAAATGTTTACACCAAAGGAAATATTGTTTCTGCAGACTTTAGAAGGTGATTGATCTCTCTTTATTTTGAAAAATTCTATGAAAAAAAAAAAAAAAAAAAAAAAAAAAGGGACAAACGTAATGTAAGGCACATAATATTGGCGAACAAAGTGATGGAAGTTTAAGTGGGCTTATATTAGTGTCTCCGAGAATTTCAATTTGGGCCGAAATGAAAAACTACAGAGAAAGTGGAGGGTGTGTTGAAGCTCTGTTATATATTCTATGGTACGATTCGATACGGGTCACTAATAATATGTATCAGAGAGTATATCTTAAACTTTTCAATACGTTAATGTGTATTCTACGATACGATATGTATCCGTTTGTATCCTTAAAAATATTGATACAAATCGATACGATTTTATTAATTTGGGCTAAAGGTCCAAAAAAAGTTTCAGGTCAAATCCGGGCCACCCAACCCGGTTCACTAAAACTTGCCCAAATTTACTAATTTTGCATAGAAAAAGTGAAAATAAAGATGTGTTGCTCATTTTGCATGATAATAATAACACAAGTGGAGTTATAGATATTGACATTGATCTTGGAAATGATTTGAATGTTTGAGAGGAAATGATATAGATTCTTAATTTTGATTATGTAATACCATAATTTAAAATCAATAATAGCATAAAATTTGTTAATTAATCATAGGGATGATATTTATTTTTAGAATTTTTTTTTATTTTTTTTATTTTTTTTTAAAAAGCGTATCCTGCTCTACGATACGATATGTGAAACATAATTCAAAAAATTAGGTTTTTGATACACGATTTAACAACCATGATTAATAGTGGCTTTCCAAGTATCAATGGCTTCCCAAGTATCAAACTCGATCAGATCAGATCAGATAAAATTATATATTAACACTTTTCTAACCAACTCTGTTACCTCTAATCAGTGGCGGATTTACTTAATGACGAGTGGAGACCACGGCCCCCACTCAAACTTTAAAAAACTTCAGATTGTATAAATATTTATATTTAGTTGCATTTTATCCCCTATAAGACTTTGACATTTTGCCCCCACAAATTTTTTTTGTTTATTTTTTGCCCCCATCGAGTAAAATTCCTGGATCCGCCACTGCCTCTAATTTACTAAAATAAAAGAAGACGATCCGTTTAAAACTAGACCACATGCACTTTGACAACTCCAACAGAATTACCTACTCCTTCAACATCATCATCTTGTGGGATTGGCCCAACACTTGTGGCTCCGTTGGGTTTACTTTTTTACATTTTTGAGAAATTTAAAAAAAAAAGTTAAATTGACCGGATATTATGATGTAAGATTTAAAAATTAATAAAAATACCCCCTATATTTGTTTATTTACTAAACACCCCTATAATAAAATATTAAAAGTTAACAAAAACACCCCCAATCCACCCATTAAATATGGACAGCCGGCCACCACCGCCGCAGGGTGACCGGAGTGTTTTTGCAATTTCTAAAAAAAATATTTGGGGGTGTTTAATTAAATTAACAAATTTAGGAGGTTTAAAAGAAATTGAAAAATATAGAATAATATTTTGGGAATAATGACATTTTACTGTTCAACTTTTTTGGGAATACTAATAATAGTTTTCCCAAAAGCAAAACAAACGAAGCCTTTATTATTATTTTTTTCCTTGTGATAGGTATGCAGGACTAGTTTATGCGTACCTTAATTAATTTACTAAAATAAAAGAAGACGATCCGTTTCAGTGAACTATATCTGAAAACTAGACCATATGCACTTTGACAACTCCAACATAATAACCTACTCCTTTCAACATCATCGTCTTGTGGGATTGGGATTGGCCAACACTTTTTTTTTTTTCCTGGTGACCGGTATGCTAGACTAGTTTACGTGTACCTCAATTAATTCTCGGAGTCCATTTAACACCCTTCAACACCATCATCTTTTGGAATTGGCCTAACACTTGTAACTTTTTTTTTTTTTTTTTGTGACCAGGGTATCCAAGTCTATTTACGCGTATCTCAATTAATGCCTAGAGTCTATTGAACACCCTATAATCTTGTGGGATTGGCCCAACACTTATTTTATTATTATTATTATTATTATTTTTTGTATTGAGATGTATGGACTAACTTACATGCACCTCAACTAATCTTCGGAATCCATTAAATACCCTACAATCTAATAAGTCAGATAAGTTACAAATGTAGTAGATGACCATACGAGACTTCTCGGTAATCTAAGGTCTTGTCATCCAACCACAAATGAAATTACCTAACACTTGTAATTGCCTCAACCTTCCTCTTCCGTGAAGCAAAAGCTTCATTATCCATCAAACTACTACTATCATTCCATTTTGTGGGTGTTCATCGATAACTCCTCTGGTTCATTAGGGCCCAAATAATTAAATAAATAATATTTATTGCATTAATTTCTTAGACTTTGGTCAATTTAATTAATTTCTCTTCATAGTATCGTCCTTATGTTTCCTTAAGCATGAATTAATTATAAACTAGGAGGAAATTGACAGTAATCAAGTTCAGTCACGTCCCATTCCCATGTGTCACGTTACGGAGGGGGCCCACCATTTTTAAGGCGCTAACCCTCTCATGCATTATTATAATGATATAAATAATGATTTTTATTTACTTTTTTCAGTTTCATTTCTTTGTTAAAAAATGAAATTCAAGCGCATACACACAGCTCAGCCCAACTAAGATCGATCTCAACCTTCACCACGCAGAGCTTCAAAGCTTCCTCATTTTAATTCATACTGAAATTCAATTTCTTTTTTTCTTTTTCTTTTCTTGTTGTCGAAGTTTTAGGTCGGAATCAGAACGAAGTCATTTCAATTTTGGAGATGATTATTTTGATTTGTTTTAGTTGATTGAGGAGGCTAGGCTCGGGTCTAATTCTCGCTTCAATTCAATTCACGCATGGACTCGATCTGGACTCAAAGTGGACCGACCGACGCTTGGCATTTCATCGTCGCCGTGTTATTCGCTCCCGGTTTCGTCGTCGCTAGGTTCTTGCTCGATAAATTCATCTTTCGAGTAAGATTCCGCTTATTTACTATCAGTTTGACTCTTAGATTCTGTAAGTTGTTTGTGTTGCTTTTGTTCAATGTTGAATTGGAGTTAGTTCTGTTTTCGGCATTTGTTTCGTTGAGTGATAGTTATGCTCGTCAAAGCGAAGAAAATGAGAGAAACTTTGTGAATTAAGCTCAGCTGCATTATTTTCTTTGCTTTTATGCTAATTAAAGTGGAAAGCATAGGAGAATTAATTCGAAGTTATTGTTCTTTTTGGTTTGTGTGATTGGCTGAAGAATGGAGAATTAGTTATTGAATGAAGTTTTGCATTTAGAATGTGCAACATGAACCTTAGTGGCTTATGAAATTTATTTGGTTTCTGGCAATGTTTGTGATATAAACTGTGAAAAGAAGAGAGAAAAGGAGGAAAAGAATGAACAGAAAAAAGCAAAAAAGTAGAAAGTTTCACAGATAACAGTTATTTGGTCATAAAGTTGCACCTGGGGTCCTAAATGGTAATAGCATGAAAGCTTGATCTGCTTCAGATAGTAATTATCTCGGCTTAAACTTGATTACACTCTGTTTTTTTTGAGCGGGAGATGGAAATTGTCATTGGTGAGGAAAAGTGTGCTCTAAGGACTTTCTGATGATCTATCATGCATAAGCTAATGTAAATTTGAGATTTCACAGTATAATCTGATCAGCTATGTACTTAAGGTGGCAGGGGAATTTGCTAGCATACACTTACAGGCCTTTTCATATTTATCCTTCTTTACGTTTTGTGTAGCTTTTCGATCACTTTGGACTGCTTTATATGATTTTACTGGGGTAGGTTCAAACTTTTAACAGCAAGCAGGGATGGCAATTGTTTCTTGTGGTCCCTGTGGAAAAGGCATCTAATATCATAGATATTGGATAAGTGAAATTGATACATTAAGTGACTTTTTGCATAGTGATGAAGCAAAATATTGATATTTGCTTTGTAGTTCCTATTTCTTCTTACCTAGTATTTATGTAGATGGATGATAATAAAGAAAAATATTTAATGATTTTAACACAGTTAGTATTCTTTCATGCCTGGATGCACCTAAGATACTTATCAAGTGATGATAATAATTTTTTGGACTGCTAGAAATGAAATTTAGATTTTAGTTTCCTATGTTCCTGTTTTTATAAATGATATATAGATGTATGCTCATGTTTATTTTAACAGTATCACATAAATTTAATGTCATGTTTCTTAGAAGCTTATGAGGAATTTTCAGTTATGACAAATAGAAGGCACTTCCTTGTGTTGGTTCCACCACACTATAATTCACTGTGGCAGAGTGTAAAAAGTGAAGCTGTAGGATGAAACTTCTGCTCCGTTTTCAATAACCCAAAATTCGTTGTATTAGTTAATTGTCTATTTATGTTGAATTTCCACCCTTTCCTGTAATGATGTTCTATCTCCAGCAGACTTCCTCTGTTGAAGAACATAAACTTATTTTTTCTATGACCAAAGTAAGCAATATTTCAGTTCACATATTGTATGTGATAATTTCTGCACGGAACATTTATATCCATACTTTTGTTTCATGTAAGTGTTTGAGTATGTAAGATATACAAACACTTTATTTTTTGTTTATAGTTTAATCATTCTTCATATTTTTGTAGCGGTTAGCCATCTGGTTGTTGAGCAATGGAAATCTCCCATTAAAGATGAATGAAGCTGCAAGGGCAAAAGTTGGAAAATGTTCGGAATCTATGTGGAAATTGACATACTATGCTACTGTTGAATTTTGTATTCTCAAAATTGCCTACCATGAGCCATGGTTCAGAGATACAAAATTGTATTTTGATGGCTACCCAAATCAAGAGTTAAAGTGAGTATAGTGTATACTTGGATTGTTAGTCTAAGTACTGGATTACTGAATGCTGTATATTTTGTGTGCTATAGGTGCTTTTGTAGTGTGCATAATTGGACCTAATGCTCAAATGACTAATATTCATTTTTTTGTTTGTGAGTGGCTATCTCCCAGCATTTTAATTGATATTACATGACTACAAAAAGAATGAAATGCCTAAAAAATGAAAGTACCGTCCACTTGCCAGCCTCATAATGATGAGCCCCATATACTTTTATATTATCTATAACATTTTTCTTTCTATGAATTGATTTCACAGTTTCTTTTGTCTAACTGCTTAAAAATTGTGTCAAAAGTGTACGGATTTGCAAATCTACTTTTTTTCCTATCTCTAAGCAGTATATATGTACATGAAGACAGCATGCCAGTAATGCACTTGGTGCTTTTCTGACGGGATAAGAATTTGACTGTCAACGAATGAATCTAATTTTGAGTCTTCAATTGGAAGATATATCTTTGGCCTTCCTACTTACATGCACATAACATTTTTCGTTTCTATTTATTTTTATTTTTATGTGCATGTCTGATTCCTAGCTTTTGGATGGTTCCTAATATAGTTCAGTTCTATTGTCAAAGGAGTTAATGTCATCTTTCAAATTGTCGTACTGACTTGCACCATTTTCTGTTTCAGGCTCCCCTTAGAGCTTTACTACATGTGCGAATGTGGGTTTTACATCTACAGCATTGCTGCCCTCTTGACATGGGAAACTCGTAGAAAGGATTTCTCTGTAATGATGTCTCATCATGTAATTACTGTTATCCTGATCGGATACTCATACCTTTCTAGGTAATAAATCAGAACATATCTAATTATACTTGCTAGTTAGTATTTGATAGCCTAAAGTCATTTGTTCTGTGACTGATAGTTGCTCCTAAATATTGTTGATATCCTATATACTCTTTTGAATTCTCATTGTTGGCCTATATCTTTTTGGTTTTTGATATGATATTTTAGAGTTTAAATACTATTGCTGGACCTTTTCTTATAACCTTAAGTTGTTGTGATTAATGGTTTTAAGAATTAGGTTGTATGAGAGTTCTGGTGTTCAAATTCTCTTTCTAGTAATGAAATTATAACACTGAGCAAGCTGAGCATGTGCTTGGATCCTCTTGTATATTATGCGTTTGAATCCATGTGTTTGTTTTTGTATGTCTGAATCACGTGAAGTCTAATCACAATTCGATTTTCATGCAGGGAACTATATTAGAATTTAATATTATTGTGATAAAATACATTTCAGCATGACATAACACTAACTCGAACCAGGGATGTGCCAAAACTTTCTAGTATTCATCTCTCTTTTTTGTTTTTTGAGATGTTTCAGGATCAATATTTGAAGTTAACTATATTTTTTAATTTAAATTGAACTGCCTTAATGATAAGATAAATCATGTTCCTGAGAGTTGCCAGCAGACCATATGAATGTGCACAATTGTATAAGTAGTTCAGATTTCATTAGTGTAAGCATCTCCGTTTCTGTGATCATGTGCATCTTTGTAGTTGTGCATAAAAGGTTGAGATTTGAGGTAGTATTGGAGAACTATCTGTGGCAGTTTATGCTAATTGTTGTATTGTGGCCTAAAAATCTTTTGAATGTATGGTCAGTTTAATAGTGGTTCTGTAGTGTGCAATATAAGTTTTTGAGTTTTGGGTTATTTTGAGCACTTCACAACCCTCATTGTTATATGGTCTGTAACCCTGTTGAACGTGTCGCAAACATGGCCAAGTGTATGGAACTTTGCGTTTCTATTCATAGATGTTGATACTATGTAAACAATTTTCCTTTACACTCAAGTCCTCTCTGTATCATTGGGTGGGTACTAGTTCAGTTTTGTTGGACCTCTTGAGGTTGTTGAAGAGGTCTTCAGATCGAATCCCACTTACACCAAGGTTAGGAGGGGCTCGATTTAAATTTGTCAGTATGAAGGGGGGGAAATGATTAAAAAAAGAAAAATTCAGAGGTCAATTAAAAAAAAAAAAAAAAAGAATGGTGTGCCATTGGGATGCTTTTCTTCTACATTTTTGGCATTAAATACTCTGGTTACTTAATCCTTGTCATGTTATGCCACATAGCTTATCATTTACAAGGTTATATTGAAGTTGCCATTTGTCAGGTCCTTACAGTTGTTACTGTGATAGCAGTAAGATCTTTATCTTAACTATTTTGTCAATCTTTCCGTTTCCTTTCATCCTTGATTAGCTGAGTAACATAAACAGCCTGTTTTTTTTGTATTAATACTGTAAATGATTGATACAAGCTTGAAAATGAGCTCAATTGTATGAGTCAATTGTCAAGGACCAAATGCTGGAGTTCCTTTCTTACTAATTTATTTCTGAGCATGTGTGCATCAACATAGTGATACAATGTAAGAGAACTCTTGTGATTGGTAGTTGAACTCTTGTTAGGTTTGCATTCATCTGCTCTTTATTGTTTTCTGTGCTGGAGTAGGTTAAAATTGAATATGCAATATTATTATTTACTTGAAGATATCTAGTGAAACTTAAAATTATTTTTTTCTGTTACAGTTTTTTCCGGATTGGCTCAATTATCCTTGCCTTGCATGATGCAAGTGATGTATTTCTGGAAGCTGCAAAAGTGTTCAAGTATTCTGAGAATGAACTTGGGGCAAGTGTATTCTTTGGGTTATTTGCTATCTCATGGCTCGTACTACGACTAGTATTTTTTCCATTTTGGGTCATCAAATCTTCAAGGTTTGCATGGTCAATTTGATTTGCCTTCATTTGGCCATATACTAGTTTCTTTAGCTTATTTGCTCTTATTGTTGTCATTTTCCAGCTATGATCTTCTGAACTACTTGAATCTATCAGAGATTTATCCAACGGTCGTGTACTATGTCTTTAATACAATGTTACTGATGCTGCTTGTGTTCCACATATATTGGTGGGTTCTCATATGCTCAATGATTAGGAGACAGCTGAAAAATAGGGGAAAAGTCGGAGAAGATATAAGATCTGGTAAGCCCTTCTAACCAATGCTAATTGGATTACTTTTTTTTTCTTGGTTGTTGGTTATGCCCTGGATATCTATCTCTGTATCCAATATATTGTTTTCCTTTGCTTGTCTGTGGAGGGTGAATCATACAATAGTTCTCCTGTTCTAGTAAACTCCTACTGCTCTTATTTTTATGTTTGCAATTGCCATATACATAAATGTATAAATCAGTCAACTGGGACCAATTCCCAGCCTAGATATGAGAGCCGCGGCTTCCTTACCATTACTCACAGTGGTCCCAGTTATAGCGTGGAGAATTTGCTTTAACCTCTTTTTCTCCCTCTAAGTAGAGTCGATAGGGATATATTTTCGGGTGGAAATAGACAAGACTTGCAGGACCTTCCCAACCTCAGGAAGTCTGCATCTGTGTTTGTGTTTGGTTATTGGTCACTGTTGCCATTATTCCTTAACTATGGATTTTCATCGTAACAACAAATAAAGAAGAGTAGATGGAGTTTCCAAACACACCCTTAAAACCGAATTGCAACATCATTTTTTTACGTTGTTTAATATGAATTTCAGTTAGCATATTGGTTATTTTGGTGAAGGCTTGTTAACAAATTATGTGCAACCAAATGCAGATTCTGAGGACGACGATTAGGTGAAAGATTGAAGATTTTTGTTGTGGGTAATGAATATTAGCCGTGGGGAGAGATTACAAAATGACTATTTTGTAGATTTGGCTCTGTGCGCAATTGAGAGGAGAAGTAGAAAGAACTAATCATATTTTGTCTTCTTGATTTCTTTCTGGTGTAGAAACATTAGGCAATTCTTGTATAATTCACCGCTATAAACCTATGTTTTGATATTAGTTTAGTCCTTATATCGAGAAATGCAAAAGAAAAGAAAAAGGTTTCAGTTTTTGTGTGGTGTTATAATATTTTGAAGTATTTCCTAGCAAATTGATAGAGTCAGTATCAGTTAATGAATTCAGTAAATTCTTAAAATATAAACTTTATACATAAATAACAAGTATATATATTTCTATTTAAAAAAAAAAAAAAAAAAAAAGCCTCTTTTTCCTCCATAAAGACACCAGGGAACAGGTGAGGTTTTTTTTTTTTTTTTTTTTTTTTTTTTTTTTTTTTTTTTTTTTTTTTTTTTTTTTTTTCCTTTTTACTAATTAACAATACTCCTAAAAACCCAAAAAAAAAAATTAAAAAAAAATTAAAATTAAAGATATACTTATTTTCTATATTGATAGCATGTGATTATTATTATTATTTTTTGGTAATCAGGGTGTTCGGGCCTGTTTGTGTGCACCTCAACTAATTTTTGGTGTCCATTGAACACCTTACAAGCTAAGGGTGTTCATAACCGGTTAACCAATTTTTTTAACCGAACCGATTTTTTGGTTTAAGAATTTTCTTGAATAGAAATCGAACTAGTTAAGGGGAAAATCGGTTAGTAAAAACTGATTAATCAGTTTTAAACCGGTTTTCCCTTTAACTTATTTTTTATTTGATTTTTCCCTAATTTAACTTATTTTTTATTTTGAGAGGGAAGAGAAAAGTGGAAATTATAGTTATTAGCATCCTACGATATGCGATACATATCCTACGATACGATTCGATACGGGTCGCCAACGATACGTATCAGAGGGTGTATCCTAAACATTTCTGTACGTTGATATGTATCATATGATACGATTCGTATCCTTAAAAATATCAATATAAATTGATACGACTTTATTAATTTGGCCGAATGCCTAAAAAATTTTCAAGTCGGATCCGAGTCACCCAACCGGATTCACTAAAATCCACCCAAATTTACCTATTTTGCATGGAGAAAGTGAAGAGAAAGATGTGTTACCCATTTTGCATAATAATAATAACACAAGTGGAGATATAAATTTTGACATTGATCTTGGAAATGATATGAATGGTTGAGAGGAAATGATATAGATCTTTAATTTTGTGATTAATTTTGATTATGTAATGCCATAATTTAAAGCTAATAATACCATAAAATTCGTTAATTAATCTTGGGGGTGATATTAATTTTTAGAAAATTTTATTATTTGATTTTAAAACGGCGTATCCTACGATATGATACGCGATGCATGATTCGAAAAATTAGGTTTTCGATACATGATACGATTCGCGATTTGACAACCATGGTGGAAATCATTGAGGACTGAGAGGAGAAATGTATGTTTGTGTTAAAAAAAAAAAAAAAAAAAAAATGCATTAAGGGTGATGAGTAAAGAGAAAAGGATTTGGGGATTTAGGGTTTCTTAATTTTAAAGTGAAAACCAATTTTATAAACCAGTTCCGGTTAATCGATTTAAAAATTTCTTTAAACTGGTAATCGAACTGAATTTTCGGTTTATGGATTTTGATAGTCAATATCAGTGAATGAATTCAATAAATTCTTAAAACATAAACTTTACAAATAAAAATAAATAAATAATAAGCAATGTTTTAATAACCAACCCAGCAAAGTTACCGGGTCCTGGGTTGACCGGTTTGACTGGTTGGTCAAATCGAGTGTCGAAATTTTTTAAATTCACAAATACACCCTTGAAAACTATGTTAAGTCTCTGTGGTTTGAAATTTACAAACATAGCCCAAATACAAATCAATCGTCGATTGGTTGGTGGCGGTGACACACCAAATGCAATCCCAATCATCCCTTGAGCCCATACCTTAGAAAAGATCTGATTGAAATCGGTCAATTTCGACCAAATCTAACCAACACCGGCGTGGACTGATTTCGACAGATCTCACCATTGCCGGTATTGAAAACCCTGCTTATCACCACGAAAATACTCCCTTCAGCCTCCTAACCAAAACCCATCTCACCTCACCCCCGTTCACCTTGCCAATCGTTGGCAAAAGCTGGCTATTGTTGCTGCCAGTTTTATTATATTTTTGGTCGATCAACTCACTGAAAATCAATTCTGTTGCCACCATTGCACTCACCAGAACTTCCTCTTCAAAAGCCCCAACATCCCGACCTTCAATTGTTTGCCGATCATCATCCCAAATTCTAGGGTTTTGGGTTAATAGGAAAATTGTTAACCTGGCTCGGTGAAGGTCCCAAGTCCTAGTTTATCCGGCCGAGTTGGGCTGGGTTTTAAAACACTTATAATAAGTATATATATTTCTATTTATTTAAAAAAAAAAAAAAACCCTCTTTTCTTGCTCCATACAAACAGCATGGAATAAATGAGGTTTTTTTTTTTTTACTAATTAACGATACTCCTAAAAACCCAAAAAAAAAAAAAAAAAAAAAAAGAAATTAACAAATTGAAGATATAATTGTTTTGTATATTGACAGGATGTTATTGCTGCATACTTGTCAAACTGGTTTTGCTTTACTTGGTAATTTAATTGAGTAATATTACGCCCACAACTAAATCTCACAACCTTACCCCCAACGTGGCAGTTTAGTTGGTAACTATTACATCAGCTGTCACCACACCCAAGACACTAAATGACTTTAACTAAACATGAACAATCGTTTCTTAGAGACGAACGACTGTTCATGTTTCTTCATAAATAATGATTGTTTCTTATGAATGAACAATCGTTTATTCTTAAGGAATGATCGTTCGTCTCTAAGGAAAGAGAGAGTGGCCAAGTGATCAAAGTCATGTTTAATCAAACTTTACCGTTTCGTTAAGGTTATAAGAGAAGGTTATATAATATTGAGTTATAATCGTAATATTTTTTAATATAATTTAGAGTATTGTATTGTACTTGTTGCACATGATTGAATTACTGTTCATTTGAACCTTTTTAACATTTTACATGCCGGGAAATGAAACTATGAGCAAGCATTAGCTGTACATGTCCTATAACACAGACAACATTGATTCTGGACACTTGGCAGCTTGAATTGTCAGAAACCCAAATCCAAATGGGAATCTCCAATTATTCAGAGTCAACTGAAGCTTCCGTATTATAGTTTATAAAATCACTCTGGCCCCCCTCAATTATTTCTTTATTCTTTTCTGTTGACCATCTGCTTTCTGTTGTAGATAGACGTTTTCTTTCTGTTGTATTTGACAATTTTGAAACAGTCAACGTTTTAATAGCTTAGTCTATGCCTTTCACATTCCCACGTGTCCCTGCTTTATGTATGAAAATACTCCCTTTAGCCTCTCGACCAAAACCCATCTCACACCATCCTCATTTACCTCGTCAATCATTGGCAAAAGCTGGCTATTGCTGTTGCCAGTTTTATTATATTTATGGTCGATCAACTCACCAAAAACCAATTATGTTACCACCATTCACTCACCGGTACTTCCTCTTCAAAAGCTCCAACATCCCAGCCTTGAATTGTTCTTCGATCATCATCCCAAATTCTAGGGTTTTAAGTTAATAAGGAAATTGTTAACTTAAACCGATGAAGGTCCCAGATCCTAGTTTAACCAGTTGGGTCGGGTTGGGTTTTAAAACACTTATAATAAGTATATATATTTCTATTTATTAAATAATAATAATAAACCCTCTTTTCTTGCTCCATACAAACAGCATGGAATAAATGAGGTTTTTTTTTTTTTTACTAATTAACAATACTCCTAACAATAATCATTTCTTAGAGACGAACGACTGTTCTTTCAATAAAAATGATTGTTCCTTATGAAGGAATAACTCTTATTTATGAATGAAAGGTCGTTTGTTCTTAGAGAACTACCGTTCGTCTCTAAGGAAAGGGAGAATGGTCGAGCGGTCAAAATCATGTTTAGTCAAACTTTATTGTTTCGTTAGGGTTGTAAGAGAAGATTATGTGATTGAGTTATATCCGTAATATTTTTTAATTTAATTTAGAGTATTGTATTGTACTTGTTCCACAATTGGCGGCTTGAATTGTGAAAACCCAAAGCCAAATGGGAATCTCCAATTATTCAGAGTCAACTGAAGCTTCCGTATTATAGTTTATAAAATCACTCTGGCCCCCCTCAATTATTTCTTTATTCTTTTCTGTTGACCAACTGCTTTCTGTTGTAGATAGACGTTTTCTTTCTGTTGTATTTGACAATTTTGAAACAGTCCACGTTTTAATCCGTTAAATTTAATCGCTTAGTCTATGCCTTTCAAATTTCCACGTGTCCCTCCTTTTATCCAGCTGTCACCTTTCCTTAACCCAGCCCTTTAAGCTCTGAATCACTCACTCAACCCATTCAAACGGCCGCGTATTTTTATATTCCTTACTGTCACATCTTAATCCTCATAAAATTCTCCTTCTCTATACCAGGTGGGGTGATGGGGACCTTCAGTATATTATTTAATCACTTGTGGGTTTCAATTTTCTTCTATTTTTATCAGAGGTGATTACTGTAAAGTTTACTCAGTTGTTAATTTTAGGATCTTAAAAAATTAATCAAAATATACATAAATTAATCTAGACATTTTTTATCACCAAAAAAAAGATTTATCCAATTGTTAACTTTAGGATTTTAAAAAATTAGTCGAGATATATATAAATTAGCTCAAATATCCTTGATCACCAAAAAAAGAAGGCTCCGTTTGACATATTATTTCTATCCATATTCTCAATCCTATTCCCAAAATATAATTTGTTTTGTTATTTGAGAAATATTAGTATATTTTTTAATTACTTTTAGACCCCTTAAGTTTATTAATTTCATAATACCCTCCAAAAAAGTTTAAAAATTAACAAAAATACTCTCACCCACCCATATTTGCCAGATTCTGGAAACCACCGTCGGTGGTAGCCGGAATCTGTCACAACGGCCTAC